CGGTGGCGAAGGCTGCCCAATCAGGATAGACCTGGACTCCCCCTGCCGACTTCTCGTAGTATGCGTCTGCCCAGGTCTTCCCTAGGTCCTTCCTCATCAATGCTACAGTGAAGGCGATCTTTGCTTCATCGCTAAGTCTGGTGTTGTTGGTGGCGACGAAGTAGGAGAGGATGCATTGGATGAAGCGTCTGAGGTCCTCCGCCTTTCCGCTGAAAGGTTCGGGAGCGGGGATGTCAAGGCGAAGGGGTCGGTTGGCAGTTGACTGTTGGGATTGGTATGCTGCGAGGGCGACAGCGATGCGCTGATCGATGTCTGCTTGGGTGAACGTTGCCATGGGGACTTCAACCGGTGCGTTGGTTGGTGCAGGTGGGGCTGGTGGTAGTTCTGGAGCCTTAATGGGAACGTACTGAACGTCCGGGAGCTCAAACGGTTGTTCGTTAACAGGTGACTGTAGGTTCTCTGTTGTTTGTGCTGGTTCGACGTTGATTCGTAGGATGGCGAATACGTCTTCTGGGTGAGCGGGAGGGTGTCTCTGGTAATAGCTGACAAGCTGTTGATGGGCGACGATCTGCGGGTTGGAACCTTCTGCGCGAACCCAGGAGCCGCCTCGAGGATAGATGGGAGTCCTTCTTGTGGTGGTGACGAAGCAACGGTCTGCTCGGTCGTACTGGAGAAGGGGAGATCCTGCGAGGGCTGGTAGTCCCAAGGGAACCGGGTTTACTGCGTTGTTTGACGTGATGGTGGATGAGTTGTTCGACTAGGTGAAACTAGGAACGTAGCTTAGAAAGTTCGACCTTTTGATACAACGGTCTATACTCCTGTATCGATGCCTGACTCGTAGACGACGAGCGAGGACTTATGGACAGTGCGTCGTCCTGAAGGTCGAGTGAGGAAGTCGAGAATGACCACTACTCCAAGCGAAGAGGAGCAGAGACTTGAATGAATAACCAGGTCGAACTTAGGGTTCGACCGACTAATGGTACAACTACTTATACAAGTACCGACTGCGCACGGACCATCGTGTCTATGTGGTCGCGTTAGTGAAGAAAGAAACGTAGTGGTACGATACCAGGGACGAAGTGCGCATGGACCCCATTATGTAAGCTACATAATGTTCAACCTGCGGGTGAGCGCTAAGACAGGCGCCAGTATGGGCGCTAGTAGTACAAGGAATAGAACGGAAAGACAAATGTTTCAGTCTTCCACAGACAACTGGTTGTCTGTGTGTGCCGCCGTCGGATGACCAGTCCACCTGCGAGCAGCCCCACATGGTAAGCACCTCCGTCACCCATGCACAGTGGCCAGCCGGGACGACTCACCTCAACACAGCAGCTGCACAGTCAAACGCACACAAGAAGGTGGCTCAGCGAGCAAGAAACCAGATGAGGTCGTGCTCCGTCCTCTGCCGCCTTGGCTCTGCCGTCGTCAAGTTGCAAACCCGTGTACGTATGGACTTCTCCCAGGCCCCTATTTCTCTCGCTTCACCATGATCGCTACGGTGGGGACGCGCCTAACTAATTGCTCCGTGCTCGATCACCCGTGCTGTGCCGCCACTTCATTAGCACGCGCACGGGAATGCGCCGCATCCCTACACTACCATGCGTGTAACGACTGGTGCCCAGTGTACGGTGAACCTTCGACGCACTGGGTACACGGAGTGGTTTTAGACCCTGTTATATAATGGCCGTAGAAAGCTTGACGTCACCAGCGCCCTCTCAGATGGCGTCGCTCGCAGCCCTGCAATAGACAGATGCGACACGGACACAGTGGAATGTCTTGTTCACTGCAGATCGTGTGTCCATGCCTACCGGCCGTCCGCATGAGGATTATTTGACCACATGTGCATCAAATACACTCTCATCGCCCTCCATACGGAGGACATGTGACATCAGTCATTGTGACTGCTGATCGACAGCCGACAGTGATACCACCACACAAGCAACAAGCCAGACGTGCACCAGAAAAGCAAACCCGGGCACGGCCGACGGGATGCGGGGTGGGCATGAGTCCGCCCGCGCACACGAACGTGAATATGCCCGGGCAGCCGGAGCGCGACCATGTACGCCAGGGGTGATTCGTTTCAGAAGATCTGATGAGAAGCATTTCCTTTCTGGGAACACAATGGTGTACAAATTTGTTTTGACCATGACCACTGACTATATATAATTGTATCCAATTGTCCATGGGTGCTGCAACTATGCTGTCGTTGTGCTCGTACGTGCTGCTGCTATGTTCTATACACCCTGCCGACCATACTGTGACCTATCACCTATGAATGCCAGTCAATGCACGAGGGATGTCAACGTCAGATCTAGATCTGCTGTCACCGACAACTCGGACACCGAGTGCGATGCAGTTTGCCTGTTCATGACGACCTTGTCGGCGTTCCCTATGGGTCCAAGGTCGGCTCGCGCAACGGCAAGGGCTTCATCCACGTCCTCCGCCCGACGCCCGAGCTCTGGACTCTCGCGCTCCCTCACCGCATGCAAATCCTCTACCTCGCGGACATTGTGTTCGTCACCTCGTGGCTGAATATCAAGCCCGGTAGCAAAGTTATTGAAGCTGGTAAGCCTATGTCCGCACTCGGCTGGCCTTCGGATTCCATATATCACAGGAAGACTGTAGCTCACAACTTCGCTGTAGATGGCGTCGAGTTACATCCGCCCGTGGTGCTGTCGAAAATTTCCATCTTCTCTCTTCTTCCATATCCTGTCATAACTGCTTTGTCGCACGGTACAACGACAGGCCGCTTCCCGCTCTCTGAGGGCATTAGTTATATGCTCACCATCTTTCTTCTTCATCTCCTTGCCTACTAGATGCGGCGATGACATGTCGCTTTATTTTGCCGCACGCCTACATTTGCTGACACCATCTGTACCCAGGTAGGTTGCGTGTAGAAGCTGTCAGACGTCCGCCTTACGCCCTGCCCCATAGGCACGGGCTCTGGCTCGTTCTCCCACTCCGTCACCCGCACCGTCGGGCCGCCAGACATTACGATGTACGACGAGAATGACTAATCTAGGGTGACATGAGCAGGTGGTACAATACACACAACAACGATGCACGCAAATTGAGTTGAAGCAGAATTACGAGCATACACAATGTATACCTTTGAAGGTAAGCCACTGCCTTACTGATTTGCGTGATCGCAGCAAGGGTTGATTGTGTACTCATTAGCATGAGTCGATGAAATGCGGCAGACATATGGCATGAGCACATGAAGCACCGGGGTTGTCGACTGTAGTTTCTTTGCACAAGGGATGGTCTCTGACGAGAGAGAGTGCGAAGAACAGCGCTCATTGTAGGAGGAGAGAGAACGGGAAGAGGGCTGTTCTCTGCATTTGCGCAGAGAAGAGCCCTCAGTATAGGAAATGGGACAAGGGGGAGAGGGCTGTCACACGATGTGAAGAACAGCCCCCATTACAGGAAACGAGACAAGGGGGAGAGGCAACTCACGATATAACGACGGTCAGGATCATCTGTGGACTTCGCACTGCGCAAATAAAATATATTTTGTGCACTGCTTACACACCGTGCCTCGGGCATACTTGGCAGAACCAGCGACCAATACAGGATGCGTTAGCCATACTCGCATCGTTCAGGAGCCGAGTCGCCCGCCATCGCACCACACTCGAGATACTGTCCCAATAATCTGGGGAGCCGGCCTTGCACAGCTTCTGACCAGCGTGTGAGAGGAGCGCGTGTATCGCCTGCAAGTGCTCCAGGACGTACGGCTGCGAGACCAGCGCATTGAGACAAGTGAGGGCGAGACTGCCCGAGATCATATCCTGTGCGAAGAGCCCGCCGACGTACGCCGCCAGCGCCAGCGCTGACTCGATTCTACTGCGTGTCACCTCACCATCACGAGACCGAACCGCCGCCCGCATGGAGTATATCTCATGAGGCTGCTGACAGAGCTGCGCGATCACGACAAGGAGTATGAACACCACGTCGCGCAATGCACGGGAAAACTCACTGGATAGCAGTACTCGGCGAAGCAGCGGCAGAGGTAGAGCTCAAGGCAGCGTCTGAAATACGTCGCGAGCTGGCCACCTTCCTCCTGCCGGAAAAGCTGGTGAAGCTCGCTTGAGAACTGCGCGACTGTCATCATGCTGGGGTAGTGACCCTCGATGACGCACTTTGCTATCTTGGCGGACAATATGGCTACGCGGACAGGGTCCCGGGCCCACGGCTTTAGTCTGACGATAGACTGTGCAAGGACTCTCCGTGACTCCGGGTGGACGGCCGCTAATCCCAGTCGCAGGCTTGGAAGCCAGTCATATCTGATCACAAGAGAGGTGTCCGTGGCCGCAGAAGTCTGCTGTACAGATGGCTGTGGCACCGGTGTCGCGGCCAAAGTGTGCATACGAGACGCTCCCGGGACGAAGGGTTCAGCCAGCGGATTGAAGCTCGATGCCGGCAAGAATGAGACAATGTCCGCTGCTGTGTGAGCCTGCTGTGCACGATCGTTTGGCTGCTGCGTCCGGATGCCACGGGAAATGTGGTTTCGGGAGCCTGTGTTTCCCTCCCAGACATTTCGGTTGCGCGCGCCAGAGAGAGAGATCGTGTGTGGCGACAGCGTTTCGGCCTCCTGGGTGCTGAACGGGTAACGACACAGACCTTGAGACTCAGGGAGGTTCTTTCTGGCGTCCTCGGTGGGCTGCGTGGGCCGCGTGAAAAAGGACATGGCTTGGTCTGTCCGAAAGTGCTACCCAAGTAAGAAGACCAGACGTTGTGATATGAGGAAGAAATTGAGGATTCATGCTTTATATGTTAGAGCCCGGGAGATCAAAGCAGGTCAACGTGGCATAGCCACAGACATGCGGCAGTGGCATTCCGTTGTTCGAGCAAGAGCTATAGTCAACCAAGAGGCGGGCGAGATTGAGATCGGGGATATGCTCCACCTGAGAAGTGGATAGCCCCCCAGTGTCCGGGGGGCCTGATTTCAATCTCTGCGCCGTTTTCGCTGAATCTCTGAATAACGCCTGCAAGAGTTTCTTTCATGTCCTATCACTCTGTAAGATGAATGAGATTGAATATAGTCGTATTTTGACAAAAAGAAATGAATTTTCTACTCCTCTTAGAAGCCACTGTCGGATGTGTTTTTGCTGCGTGCAGAGAGTGTGGCCGCAGGCACGTGGCATGTGCTGCCCAAGAGCGTGTCGCGCTACGAGTAGTGTAAGGCAAATAAATCAGTGTAAATTACACCGTACTTTTTTACAGGTAATTTACAAGTAATTTACACTTTTTTACAGGGCTGTCTGAATAGAGGTGTAAATAATGTAAATAAGGGTGTGTCACGTGTTGGGTACCCACGTTCAGCCGCCAATTGGGCCAATGCCTTGCACCCCGGGCTATTATTTTGTCAACACTGCTTCAATGCGCTACTTTTTGTATCTTTGTAGTCTACGTACTTATACACGGTCTCTGTAGATATCAACGGACTCTGCTCGAACGTAGTACAAGTTCTGACTCACCTTTTCGGACTTAGCCGCGCTGTCTCGGATCTAGCCGTAGGTACTTAGAATCTCTTAGAATGGTTCGAACACCTCTTGTATCTCTTTGTCGAGCCAACACCAGTATTCGGGCCTCTGCCCCTGTTGTTCGCAAACCTCTCAGTCCTCTCTCATCATAACGGCTCACACTCTTCATCTCGCCTGTTACAATTGCCCCCATCATCTAGGGCTGGGAACTTGAAGCCACAGTGGCTGCATGGATATATAGGAGGAGCTAGTAAATGTAAATGAGGCAGAAGACGGCAACTTGGCAAGGTGTTATGGGAGTTCAATTAGGATGTGTAGGTAGTCTGTAGCATATGCTATGCTCCCTAGAGCTTTTTTTAACATATCTTTACATTTTTCTACCATTTTTTACTTTTTTTACACACCGGAGGGTGTCACGTGCCGAAGCGCAAATAGTCCCGTGATTTACTGTAATTTACATTTTTTACCATGTAAAAAAGGGGTCCCAAAACCTGGGTCTGTAAAAAACGGTAATTTACACACTGATGAATTATTTACCCTACACTAGCTACGAGTCAGCCTTCCTCACTCTCGCTCAACGCACTCATGAATACAGTATCCCAAGATAGTGATGCAAAATCTGCTTTCATTCAATGCTATCTACTCCTGGCGACTTGTGCTATTCGACTTCGTTATCTGCCACTGATTCGGACTCCTTTACATCCCAGTGCCATAAGCGATCACGAGCAGATACGACGCGGGTTGACGATGCAGCGCGGCAAACAAAACGAGGCAGATTTTGGGCTACTATACTTACCGGAGCGACCCCATCATGTACTTGATGACGAAATATATATAGAATAAGCCTACTCAACTGTGTATGCCTGCTCGAGTGCATCGCTCTTCATCTACCATGCAAGAAGGGGACTCGAAAAAGGAAAAAAGGCCCAGCTGCCTGCCTATTATGGTTAGAACATCTATCACATGATGTGTTCTAACTAAGAAGGAGGTTATCTTACCCTACTTTCGGGGTCCTTTCAATGCGCACGGTGAATGTGGCTCATTGCATTTTTGCCCGCCTCTTGTAGTCAACAGACAAGGTCAGACAAAGAGGTTCTTCCTTTTTCCGGGAGATCCATATGTTCCCGACAAAGACGCAGTCGACCACAAAGACGCCAAGACACTTTGAGAGCTCCGATGAGACGAGGCTCAATAGCATCCAGACTGCTGCGCGGAAAGACTTGAGATCCAAAGGGGCGCAGACACTGAAGGCGGGACAGAGACAGTATCAGCCCAAGAGACAAGCCAAGAATATATGAGTACTGAAGCTGAAGCTGAAGCCTGAGGTTCAGATGCACGGACGCGGAGATCGCGAAGTATCGGACCCCTGGCGTCAAGATCGAGGGTGTCGAGTTCGTGAAGCTCCCGATCGTCTCTCGAATGCTCAAGCGCTCGTGCACACACGTCCTCGGTCCTCGGGCTGCGATCGTCGTTCGGTCGCCGGTGTCTTTTGCTGCGTCTCTGCTCTGCATCGCACGGCGCTCGCTGCGTCTCACACTGTCCTGCGTTCCACTGGCGTCCGCTCGCCGATCGCTCGCACGCCCGCATCTGGTATACAGTGTCTCGCCTACCATTACATCCTGATCGCTCGTTCCACCGTGGACGCTGCGTCTGTCGATCGCACTCACAGCCACGCCTTGTCAGGGGTTGAAAGACTCGCGCTCTGCAACCGCAGCCGCGCCCTTCGCCTCCACTTCTCGCGCATCCCAGCCCGCGCAGTCTGCAGCCTACAGCCCACGCACGTCCGCATCCGCGCATCCCCACGCCGCGCCACTGCCGCTTGCTGGCACACACGCCGCCATGCATCCTCCTTCCCCGCACCGCGCTATTCACCACGTCGGTCACGCCGGAGACGTCTCCGAGAGCGACGTCAAGCGGCGAAGCCACGCATGCCGCGCGCGGGCGCAGAAGGCGTACGCGGAGCCGCTCCCTGCGATCGACGCGCCGCCGCTGACGGTGCTGTACGCGAGCGACGGCGGGCGGGTCAAGAAAGTAGCAAAGCGCGGCGGCGGCGGTGGACGCGGACACGATCGCGGACAAGGAGGGCGAGTTCCCGCAGAACAGGCGTGCGCTTGTAAAGGCGGTCGCCGCGGGCGCAGCGCGCAGCTGCTGGAGGGCGTCAAGCGCAGCGTGTTCGGGCTGGGCGACGCGCGCGGAGGGCGCGCACTCATACATCCGGGACGAGCGTGTTGCGCAGGGCGTCGCGCCCGTGATCCGCGTGCGCACGCCGGACGGCGCACACGGCGTCATCGAGGGCCACCTCAAGTCTCCCATTCACGACATCGACCGCGCGCTCCTGGAGACCCTTGCTGCTTGCGGAGCCGTGAACCGGTGCGTTTTTCCCTCCGTACGCTGCATCCGTCCTCTCGGCCGCCCTCGCCGTCAGCTGAAGGTGCGCCCGCTCGCCTGTCATCTGCTCACGCCGCTGCTGCAGTCGCACGCCTTGCATTGATGTATCATGCTCATTTGCGCCGAGCCCGTGCAGCTGCACCGTCCATCGCACGCCGCCCGCGCGTATCGACCAGAGCACTCGCCCGTGCTTCTTGTCCGTCGCGACACCATCCTCCGCCATTTTACCGCAGCCCGACAAGTTTCGGACCTGCAGCCCGCATCCGCGCCCACATCTGCGCCCCGTAAGCACCTTGATACACTCTGATCGCTTGCTCACACGCACATCGGCACAGCTAACGAAATATAACGCCGATGCGCAGAGCCTCTACGCAACACTCGCCGCCGCATCAAATTCCATTCCCCCAGCACTCCGTCCATCCCGCCCGCGCGCGCACCCACATCCACCAACTGTCAACTCCACACGCTGTAAGTACACCATCAATCAAACCAACGTCGACCGGTGACCGCGCTCACCACCATGGCTCTTCAGGGCCCTCCAACGTCGGCCCACGTACCTGCAGCATATGAAGGTCAGTCCAGACACTAAAGTACAGACAGCAGGCGTAGGTGCCGTATGCAGACACCATCGAGACACATGCCAGTCAACAGCGACACACTCACGGCCAGGAGATGACGACCCTCCACCCATCTCCGGCCCTCTTTATATCCTTCCCGCTACCCCCCTTCCCGCATTGCGAACCCACGCACGGACGCTCCCTTCCCCGCGTCACGGCGCCCAGCCCCGCCGCGTACCTCACGCAGCCGCTCGCCTATCCTCCCGCAACACCCGCACCCGAGCTACGCGCATCTCCGCCGGGGCGCTCGCCTGGGCTTCGCGCGCGTCGCCGCGACGCCTTCCACCACGGGACCGGACCAGACGTGCCTCCCTGCACGGAGAATACGCCAACGGCAGGACGCGCGCGCACGCCCATGTCCGCGTCCGCGTCCTGTCCTGCATTTCATATGCGCGACGCGGGCGGTTGTCCGCCTGGCAGCCCACCCGCAG